AGCAGTCCTCGAAAGAGCTCCCTTCTCCTTCTCCCAACCCCCCCTCTCCCCAGGCTTCACCCCCCACACACACACACACATATCTCCCGGAATTTCCCAGCCCAGAACATGCAACCCTAATATTGATAAGTGATTGAATTGATAGTGTACAGACACAAATTGGGGGTTTGCTCTCTTTTTTCCCAGCATGGGAATTTTTGGAAGAGGGGGGAGATGAGAATTTTAGAAGGGTTTTTTTTTTTGCACGATTCGACTTACGAAAGCCAGGCTTCTTACGGGGCAGGAGAGAGTGGAATTTTAGGAGAGGACCGGTGGCACGGCGCCAATCCTAGGAACAACGCCCAGGCGTCTCTGTGCGGGTGGCCGGCCAGAAGGATTGCTCTACCGTTGAGCATAATTGTGTCAGGAAGAATGAGTGGTTGCGTGCGCCTTATGGATCCGCTCTGAGACTTGCAGGAAACGTTTACCGGCACAGTCACAGGAACTAGGAACGTCTCTCTACGGGTTTGGGTTTTTAAAAAATAAAATGAAGCCACAGATCCTGGGTCGCCGCCTGATCCTGTCCCTCAACACAAATGTCTGCACTTTCTCAGCACCCGTTCCACTGTAGGGTATCAACCCTGGCGACAAGGTGCAGGAAGAAGAGCAAAAAGAAATGTGGTTTTTGGGGGGATGGAAATTGCAGTGAAATCTGGGGGGTGGCTCTCGTCTGCCCCCTCAAAGAGCCATGGGGGGGCGCCTGTGCAGCTTGCATAAGGCCCTTCCCGGCTTCCTGGGTGCCCAGAATTCTTTGCGTCCTCTGCCAATGAGCACATTGCAGCTGCAAGGTGCATTATGTATGAAGGGTGAGGGCTTTGTGGGATTCGATACAGGGCTGCCCAGGGACAATCGGCACCCCGGAACAGCCATTTCCCTTAATTGGCCCCTCTCTTTTCTCCTTCTCGCCCGGCTCCAGTAATTTGCTCAGTCACCTCCTCCTCCATTACCCCATCGAGCTCTTTTACCTGGCGGCAGGGGTCATTTCGTTAAAAAAAAAGAGGTGCAGGGGCTCATTTGCACAACTCATTAGCGGCTGCGGGGCACCTGGAGAAGATTGGGCAGGGAACCCAGGCATGTTTAGAATGGCTTTCTTTCCCTTCCCCATGTGCGGAAAGGAAAGGAAGGCATTTAAATCCCCCCAGGTGGCGGGGGGCTCTGCAGGCCTTCCCTGCCCCGTCCGCCTGTGCAGGCGGGCCAGGAATGGCGGGGGGAGTGTCCTGGCCTCTTTACTGCCAGAGCGCCGCTCCGACACGCTCCGGCAGGAAATGACCCCTGCACGAAGGAATCTCACAAAGGAATTTTAAAGGGAGATTAGAAAGAGAGACTGCTGATAATGATGTTCAAGACTGAATCAAGACCTGGGTTTCCTGTCTCATTACCAATGCTGATTTCTCAGTGCCTACTACCCCTCTGCATATCACACCTAATCCAATCAAGCCTGCTATTGTCATTCACCTGCTATTGCTGTTTGCCTGATAATGTCATTCAGCATCTGAAATCACTTCACTCTCCAAGATGTATAGGACAGAAGGACTCACATCCTAGCTGTATGTGAAGAAGTAAGCTGTGACACATGAAAGCTCATCCCCTGCCACAAATTTGGTTAGTCTTGAACATACTACTGGTCTCTTGTTCTTCTCTACTGCAAGGGTCTGTGGGAAGAATAATTTAACCATCTTCAAGTACTTGAAGTGCTGTCATGTAAAGGATGGTGCAGAATTGTTTTCTGTTGCTGCAAAAAAGTCAGACCAGAACCAACGGGTTGAAATTAAATCAGAAGAGTTTTCAGCTAAACATTAGGAAGAACTTCCTGACAGAGCGGTTTCCTCAGTGGAACGGGCTTCCTCGGGAGGTGGTGGGCTCTCCTTCTTTGGAGGTTTTCAAACAGAGGCTAGATGGCAGTCTGACAGCAAATGCTGATTCTGTGAACATAAGCAGACCATGAAAAGGGAGGGCAGGAAGGGTTGTGCAGCATCAGTGCTTAGTTCTCGTGGCCCTTTCTTACGCGCCCGGGGAAATGCCGATCGCCACGTTGGGGTCAGGAAGCAATTTTTCTCCAGGCCCGTTTGGCAGGAGATCCTGGAGGTTTTTTTGTCATCATCTGGGCATGGAGCAGCGGTCACTGGGGGCGTGGGGGGAGGTAGTTGTGAATTCCCTGCATTGTGCTCAGCTGCGCCCTCTGGTGGACGGCCACGGGATTGCTGTCCTGCTTTTCCCAAGGGAGCCGCATCCGCCGGGCAAAATAATTGTTTGTTTCTGAACAGGAGCTGGAAAAGAAAATCCAGATGATACAAAAGGCATTAAAATCTGGCCTGGCTGCCAGATGCCTTCACCCCTCCTGCTGGGAAAAGATGCGTCATTCATGGCTCTTTGTGCAGGGTTTCAGATGCATTACGGGTTGGTCGTTTATATTAAAGTGGTTTCTTCTCAGTGGTAGTCGGGGATTTTTTCCTAGAAAAAGCCCAGCAGGAACTCATTACCATAATAGGCCACACCCAACAACATGACAACGGTGGCAACACAGCTGCAGGCCTTTCTGGATGACACCTCCGCGCTAGATCCGTTTCAGTCCGGCTTCCGCCCGGGCCACAGGACTGAGACAGTACTGGTAGCCCTCACGGATGACCTCCGTAGGCATCTGGACCAGGGCGGGATGGCGGTGCTTCTGCTGTTGGACCTGTCGGCGGCGTTCGACATGGTCGATCACCAGTTGCTCGCCCACCGCCTCGCCGATCTGGGGATACGGGGACTCGCCTTGCAGTGGCTTCTCTCCTTTCTCCATGGTCGGGGACAAAGGGGGGCGCTTGGCGGGAGTACATCCCAGAGGTACCCACTGGAATGTGGAGTGCCTCAGGGAGCTGTGCTCTCGCCAATGTTGTTCAACATCTATATGCGCCCCCTTGCCCAGATTGCTCGGAGGTATGGGCTGGGTTGTCACCAGTATGCTGATTACACCCAGCTCTATCTGCTGTTGGGAGGCCAGTCTGGCTCTAACCTGGAAAATCTGGATCGGGCGTTGCGGGACGTGGTGGACTGGCTTAGACGGAGTCGACTGAAACTAAATCCGACGAAGACGGAGGTCCTATGCCTGAATCGGAGCGGTACGGGGTTGGGGCTCCCACTCCCGGCCTTCGGTGGGGCGCCATTGGTGCCAGCTCCGAGGGTCCGGAGTTTGGGAGT